TGGATCTAAGAAGCCAAGAGCTAATATTTTTCAGTACTTATATAATACAGTAGTGCCTTCCAAGTGTGGGCTTCTTTATGCCTTGAGAAACAGTTTCTTTTTTTGAAAACATACTGAGTTGTGTCACATAACTGACCTGAATAAATGTGTGTGATGGAATTTTATGAGGCTGTGGAAGGCAGCCCTCTTTATTGCTTTACTTTCTTTTTTTACCCTCTTTCTTTTAACCACAATCTATTTGCCAGCTTCAGGTAAAGAATTTTATGCAATATTCAGACAGTGCTGTATTATGCTGAATTCTGATTAATGAAAGAGGTCAACTTTCATTAGAAACTGCATAAAACTCAGTCCATTAAATTGTCCATTTCAGGCCTACAATAATGGCTTAGACTTTTGATTATATTAATTAGTGCACTTAGTGAATTTCCCAGCCAAATGCTTATGTTATTTTAAGAAACAAAAAGTTCTTTCTCAATCTTTTTTTTTCTTAGACCTAGGGAAGGAAGAGTAGAAAAGCCCATTTAAAATATATAAACTAAGAATATTATTATTGAAGAAATTAAGAATAAATGTTAAAATTCTAACAGCGGTTACAGCACATCCCTCCCCCCAAGTCATCTCTCTTTTGTTCTTCATTTTTACATTGGTATCATCTTACCTTATAGCCTTTGATCATGAATGTCACTTTAGCTTAATTAAGTCATAACCCCCAAGGATATCCAAGCCGATGCCTAATGATGTGCTTATTCTAAATATTTTAAACTGAGAAGTTGTCTGGATCCTGGCTATTTCAGAATTATCTCTACTACTTCTAGAACAGTTAATAGAGGCATAGAATTTACCTTATTAGACTAAACTATTGATCTATCATATCTGATGTGCTACATATAATTGGCAATTAGACTCAGAGGCCGTCTAAGCTCTCAAGGCCCTTCTACACGTACAGGTAAAGGTGTGATGGGATCTAACACATGATCCACACAATTGTGCCTTCTGCCATGCCACACATGCATGGCAGTAGGCATGATTGTGGCATCATGCATTAGATCCCATTGCACATTATTGCTGGTATAGGGGAAGCCTTATCCTGGGCTCCCCCTAAACTAGCAAGGAAAAAGTTTCCAAAACTGGGAGCTTTCTCAGCTGTGGGGCTCCCAGCCACAGGGGTGCCCCATGCATCTTCAAGAAAGCCACACCCCTTGGCTGCCATACTCAGCAGGGTCCTAACAACTAGCATCTGCGCTGCTGACAGCCCCCTCAGATGTGGGACTCCCAGCCCTAGCTGGGCATTGTGCCGCCCTTCAGCTGGGAACCCCATCAGCTGACAGGGCTCCCAATCACAAGGGAGACCCTGCTACATGTGCAAATTAAAGCTTGACAGCAACCAGCTACAAAGTTAGTACATATTTTCTAATATTTCTAATATTTTCTAATATAAAGTCTAACTTTATAGCTGGTTGGACCTTTTTATTGTTTGATAGCTACTTTGCATGTGTTGCTGGTCTTAAGGTAAATGCAAAATTATCCATTTAATTGTAAACATGTAAAGGGGCCCCCAGAGGCACAACTAGGTGTTTTGACACTTTGGGAAAAGATGCTGTGGGAGCTGAGTTGGGAGGGATGAGGCTGCTTGAAGGTGTTGCAGGGGGCTAATGAAAGAATCACCTGACCAGAAGAGGGTTCAGGCTGGATATATATAAGCCCAGAGCCTGAACTGGTCAGGTGGTCTGTGCCTGGCAATCATGGGGTGAGGAGCTGTGGGCAGCAGGATTCTTGAAGGTACTGCAATTTATAAAGACAACTCAGGCCTGGGTAGAGAGGCAAGCCCCCTGAGCACATAACTTTTTAAGTTTTGCAGGCAAGAGGCCTTTATTTTAATTTTGAGCCCACAGAGCATCCAGGAGCCTGGAGAAGGGGCACCATGCAGGACCCAGGGTCCAGGAGCCTGAAGAAGGTGCTGTATAAGGGACCAGGGGGGTTCAAAGGCTGAAGGGGGCTGAGAACATAATTAGGCAACATGAAGGATGAGAATACCCATGAGGCTTAGGGCATGGTATAGGGGATGTAAGGAGCCTTGCAAGGAATCCCTTAGGCAACAGGTGCCTGGCAGAGGTATAGGCAGGCTGAGAAGGCCTGCTAGTATGCGGGTGTGGGGCTGTGATGGCAGGGACCCAGGAAGATCCTAATGGGGACTGACACAGGTTCATGCTCACATAGAGCCCACAAGAACCCTCCCTTCTATAACCTTCATTAAGATCAAGGTGTGGTGCGTGAAATTCAAGGGAAGGGCTGCAGCTGAGCCTGAGCTGGGCAGGGGCAGCATGGCTACCAGGGAGCA